CAGGCCCCACCCCCAGCCCCCCGGAGTTTCCCGGCCTGGATCTGGCAACCCTATCCCCCATCCCCCCCACCTGTGGCTAGGGGGGCCTGGCAACCCTGCTTGGTCCTCCTGGGCACTCTCTGGGTTGTAGCAGGTCAAGACGGCAGGTAGACCTGTTGGTCTGTCTGTACCAGTAGAAAACAGCAAGAGCCCAGAAGCACCTGAAAGACTGGCAGCCAGGGTTCCCTCTAAGCTGAGTTAGTGTGAGCTAGCTCACAGTTTTTTAGCCTCCGGATCACACATTTTTTGTCTTAGCTCAGGAGGATGGCTCCAGAGCAAATTAATTTATGCAGTGGCCAAATCGCTCGCTCACTACTTTAATGCCAGTAGCTCACAAAGTAGAATTTCTGCTCACAGGGCTCCGCAGCTTAGAGGGAACATTGCTGGCAACGTTGGTGACAGGGTGTAAGTCACTGCGGCTCACTTCTTCAGATATCTGGATCTTCTTCAGGTACCTTCAGAAAGCTCCTCCCTGGCCACAGATGTTGTTAGTCTCTCAGGTGCTCCTGGACTCTGGCTCTTTTCTCCTGAAGAAGGGAGTAGTGACACAAGAAAGCTCCTCCCCTGCCACAGATATTGTTAGTCTCTCAAGGGCTCCTCCCCTGCCACAGATGTTGTTAGTCTCTCAGGTGCTCCTGGACTCTGGCTCTTTTCTCCTGAAGAAGGGAGTAGTGACACAAGAAAGCTCCTCCCCTGCCACAGATATTGTTAGTCTCTCAATATACAGCATACAAAGAATTAAAAACAGTTAAAACCCCAATAAAATACAGCAACATTCCTCTGGTACAAGTCTTAGTTAAAGCTTCACCGATACCATCTATTTCGAGTTTTGGTCCTTAGATAGTAATGCAGATCTGACCTGCTGAGGGGAGGCCCAGTAACTAAAAGCCTGGCGGAAGAGCTCTGTCTTGTAGGCCCTGCAGAATTGTAAAAGGTCCTGTAGGGCCATGATCTTATCTGGGACCTCATTCCACCACATTGGGGCCAGGGCCGAAAAATTCGCATCCACACACGACGAAGTCAATACCCATGCTGCTGCATTCTGCCCCAGCTGCAACTTCTGGAAATTGTCAGTTATATGCATTCTTACACATGGATACATTTCTCAGGCTTGAAGATTGAATATGGGTGCTGGGAATTTAAGTCCTGTTTTCTAAACCTGATATACCTTTTTTTTAAAAAAAAGTCCAAAAAACCCCAGCTGAGTGTCTCCTTTGTCTGTTAGGATGGCCCAGCCCTTATGATACCATCCAGCTCAGCATTGCCAGTTGCACTGTGTTTCATGTGCCCTTGCCGTCAGAACTAGGTCACCTCCCTATTTTGCAAACTGTTCCAAGTCCAGTTTCTACGATTATTACAGGTTTGAAATCACACAGTCCTTTCAATGATGCTGGTGGTTAACGCGATGGAAGACGGCAACAGTAAAGAGGTGGAGGATATTCTTCGACTTAATGTTGGAGGTTGTACGTATACTGCTAGGCGTAAATCTTTATGCCGTTTTAAGGAGTCAATGCTGGCGTCCATGTTCAGCGGGCGGTTTCCTCTAAAAATGGATGACTCAGGTAAACAAGATGTGTGAGCCATAAATAAATGCAAATAACTTATTTTAGACTGTAAATCAAAAATGTGGAGTGACTTTTCCATTTCAAAACCTTTGGGGAGTTATACTCATTATTGCATACACCTGTTTGTTTATCTTTGGTTTCCTTAGTTTCATGGGAAATACATTTCTGGCTGCAATGCCTTTGGTTTGTATCCAGTTTGGATGAAATTTTCAGAGATTATATTTCTTGGCCAAGGGATCATCCCTACCAAATTTCAAGGTAATGGGAAGAAAGGGCCCTAGTTTTATAGGCAATTAAAGTTAACATTGTAGCATTTGGAAAGCTACTTTTTTAAAACTGCCGTGAAATGTGCCGGGACATTTCTCACATGGCAGAGTGGGTAGAAGCAGGCATTTTGGCACCCCGGGAAAGTTGGTGGTGTGGTGTTACAGGGCAGCTAAATAATGCCGTTTTGATCCACTTCAGCAACCGTTTGCAAGTGGATTTTGCCATTTCACACAGTAAAATCCAGTTGCAAAGTGCATTGAAAGTGGATTGAAAGTGCGTTATTTAGTGTGTGCGAAAGCGCCCCATGGGCATGACTGGGTAAGAGGGGTGTGTTTGGCTGCAGTAGGAAGGCAGGGAGTGGACTGTGGCTTGCATTTGTTACAGTCTGGCGGATTTGAAATCTCCAGGTTTGACACACACGGCTGTGAAACACCTGCCAGAATTAATGAGCAGATATGAGTGTGGATGAGGGGGAAAGCCCCAGCTTCTGTATCTGGGTCCTTTAATGTGACAAATAGACTTCTTAGAGATGATTAACTCTAAAGGCTAGATGGCCATCTCACAGCCATGCTGATTCTGTGAACTTAGGCAGATCCTGAGACGGAGGGCAGGAAAGGTTGCCTCAGTGCTTAGTTCTCGTGGCCCTTTCTTACACGCCCAGGGAAATGCTGATCATCACTTTGGGGTCAGGAAGCAGTTTTTCTCCAGGCCAGTTTGGCTGGGTATCCTGGAGGGTTTTTTTGTCATCTTCTGGGCGTGGAGCAGGGGTCACTGGGGGTATTTGTGAATTTGTGAATTTCCTGCATTGTGCAGGGGGTTGGACTAGATGACCCTGGAGGTCCCTTCCAACTCTATGAGTCTATGATTCATCTCAAAAAAATAATAATTAAGACTTCAAAAAGTACTTTTACTTGCATTTCCAGGCGCCTGCCTCATTGATCGAGATGGCACCCTCTTCAAATACCTCTTAGATTATCTCCACGGCGATGTTCGGATTCCTGAAGATGAGCAAACGCGAATTGCGTTGCAGGAAGAAGCTGATTACTTTGGCATTCCGTACCCTTACAACCTTGCTGACCACTTGGCCAACGAAATGGAGACGTATTGTTTGAGGTCAAGCACAGAGCTGAAAAAGGTCTTGGAATTTTCTTGTGGCCCTAAAGTAGTTGTCGCAGCTGCCAGTTCTGGAGTCTGTAGGGTGGGCAGAGAGAGGGTCACATGGTTGCCAGTGTGTGGATGATCGGACCGAGGGAAACGTGATGGCTCTTTAGAACCTGTTGCCCTGTTTTCAGTCCAGTAGTGCAAGAAAAATCCTGAACACATTTGATCACCCCGACATGATCACGCTCAGGGGTCCTTTTGTGGAAAAAGAGGTGCAGGAGCTCATTAGCATAACTTATTTGCATAGGCCACACCCCCTGACATCACCGGAAGTGAGTCAGAAGGCAACACCCAATGCTCAGGCTCCACTGGACTGTTTTGGATTGCTAGCTATTGGGGGGGGGGGCGTGCTTATCTGCCCTCACAGAGAAGGAAGAGCCTGTACCTGAAGGCGGGCCGGGTAGGGGGCCCTCTGCAACTACCTGGCTGCTTCTTGCTCCTCGTGGCCTGACTGAGGGCTGCTAGGAGCAGGGGGCGGGGTTTGTTGCATGTGCCCGGCCCCTGGGCTCCTTACTGCCAGAGCTCCGCTCCTGTGCACTCCCGCAGGAAATGACCCTTCACGCTGTTCAAAAGAACGTGGTTTACTCTGCTGTCTCTGGCACGCTTATAATTGTATAAACCAGATTGGGACCACAATATTATCCGTTCAGGCGCGTTGTTGTGTAGTCTGTTAGTGATTTTATTGATTGTAATGGATTGCTCTGGCACGCTTATAATTGTATAAACCAACTTGGGACCAGTGTTCCCTCTAAGCTGAGTTAGTGTGAGCTAGCTCACAGTTTTTTAGCCTCCGGCTCACCTGCTTTTGTCTTAGCTCAGGAAGGATGGCTCCAGAGCAAACTAATTTATGCAGTAGCCAAATCACTTGCTCAGAACTTTAATGTCAGTAGCTCACAAAGTAGAATTTTTGCTCACAAGACTCCATAGCTTAGGGGGAACATTGCTTGGGACCACAATATTATCTGTTCGGGCGCGTTGTTGTTTAGTCTGTTGGTGATTTTATTGATTGTAATGGATTGCTGTTATATGTTTTTAATTGTGAATCTGCATTAACTGCAGGCCTTTATGTTGGTACCTGTCCTGAGCCTACAATGTGGGGAGGGCGGGATATAAGTCTAATAAATAAAATAATAACCATGTATGGTCTCTCCCCATCACCTTGTGTCGGTCAAAAAATGTGCACACCAAGTCCACCCATGGTTATGTTTCTGTAAACCTAGGAGAAACCCCAGATTTGCAGAAAAATCTAACAGCCCCCCCTCTTCAATTGAGAGCTAAAAACCCTTCAATAAAGTAACAATGATGTGGGCTCATAAACAGGATTAAAACTCTGTGTGGCATAACAACTCTGTGGCAGTTAAATGACAACTGGTGAAAGCAAAAGGAGGTGCGAATAGAGGGGGAAGAGATCAGTTGGGTGAGTGACATAGGAGAGGGGGAGAAAATGCACAAGGAGAAGAAGAGATGGGATTTATACTCCACCCTTCACTACCTGAAGGAGTCTCAGAGCGGCTTACAATCTCCTTTCTCTTCCCCTCCCCACAACAGACACCCTGTGAGGTAGGTGGGGCTGAGAGAGCTCTTGACAGAAACTGCTCCGGAGAGAGCAGCTCTGAGAGAACTTGTGAGTGGCCCAAGGTCACACCAGCAGCTGCCTGTGGAGGGGGGAGTGGGGAATCAAATCCGGTTCTCCCAGATTAGAGTCTGCGCTCCTAACCACTGCACCAAACTGGCTCACAGGAAAGAAGTAGACACTGTGTCACGGCAGGGCCAGGGGGCGTGATGCAGGCAAGCCCAAGAGCAGTCCGAAGTCAAGCCGAGTAAGACAAGCAGCAAAGTTCAAACAGGTTTAAATCAGAATCCAAAGCCAGGGTCAGACATACCAGAGTTCAATGTCCATAAATCCAAACGATGCCAGAGGAGTCAGAGACGAGAGCAGGGTCAATGAAGCCGAGGGTCAAAAGCCGAGGATCAAGACGACAAGAGTTCTGGAGCAGAGATACACGGAGTGGGTCCTGTCAAAAGACGTTTGCCAGCACAAGTTCCTGCCAGCAACAGGCTTGAAGATATACAGTGCTGGCTAATTAACTCGTTAGCTGGCAGGGAGGAAGGTCATGTTTCAGTCAATACTCAGGGCTGAGAGATCGTCTTGCACGCATGCGTGCATCCCGGCGTCGATCTCTCAGCTCCTGTCTCCGTTGATTCCGGAGCCTGGTCACAGCTGGTGGTGAATCGGGCGAGGAATCTCTGTGCTGCAGCAAAGCCTGATCCTGTGCAGGTGTTTCCTGGGAGGCTCTATCCTCCTCATCACTTAGGGAGCTTTCAGCCACAGGAGCCAATCTTTGTCTATAAGTCTCTGCTGCAGTACGTTCCTCAGGAGCCTGTGGTGTCAACTCCACATGCTCCTGGCTGGCAGGTGCCTCATCAGGGTCATCAGCAGGGGCAGGCATGACACACTGATGGAAAGCGAATGGTAACTTGAGGCTGGAGCAAGAGGGGGAGATGCAGGGACCAGCAGGGAAGGAATGGGATTTTTGCCTTTCCAGGAGTCCTTCCAAAGAAATAAAAATAGGAGTTGTTCTTTCTTATCTTAGTTCCAGCAGGTAATTTTGAACACATGGAAATAATCCAACACTGTTACAATATAAAATTATGTTGTTTTGTTTCTTTTGTGTTTTTTCTTTCCTTTTCTTTTTTTTGCAGGCACTAATAGGTTTTTGTGACTCGTACGGCTTAACGTGCATCAAACCTACTGTTTGGGTCCTGCACTATCTCAGCACTTCCGGAGCAAGCTGTGAGAGCGTAATCGTTGGTGTTTACGCCACGAAAGCCGACGGGATGGCTGCCATTGAAAAACAACTGGAAGGGAGAATTCACAGTAAAAATATTTATAAGAGGTGAGAGAAACTTCACAGCCACGTGATTCCGTGAAAGTATGATTGTTAAGAGGGTTCAGTTTTGAGAACTGTGTAGTTTCCTTCTGGTGGGAGGGTATCTGACGTCCAAATACCTGTGTGCTTCTCAGGCCTTTGGAGTTCAGGTGGATTTTTCGTGTTGCTTTCGATTCGGTGACTTACACTGAGTCAAAGGCTAGAATATTTAAGTAAAAAGGCTGGTCCGGGGAAAACAACAACACCCTTTCCATATAAAGCATTTAATAACAGCTGTACCTGAACATGGTACACCTAAAAGTTTATTGATAAATTTCTAAGAGAATACTCAGAAGTGTTAGTGCAACCAAGGCCAGCTCATTTCCATTTTATTTTGTACTTTGTATATATTTTTCAAGATGGGTTGGGTGGGAGTGTTCAAAAAGGGAAAGGGAAGTTAAATCACCACATTTGCAATCCACAAACATTTAAGCCAATATTTTTTCTTAAACCCACGATCCCTTGGCAGAGCTTTTCTGTATTTTCTCTCCCCCCCCCCCCCCCCCCACCCCAATAGCCCCCAGCAGTCCTTTCTGATCCTGGGAAGGTTTATTCCCAGGATGACAGGTCTCATATCTGCCTGGGTTTGGATGTTGCAGAGGGGAGGGGGAAGGGAAGGAAATTGTGTGTGCTGTTGGGAGAGAGGAGAACATAGGCTCCGGTCACACGGGCAGGAAAATGCGGGGGGAAGCGTGGCTGTTTGCCCCGGGGCAAACTAACGCGCGGTTAAGTTATCAGACCTCCCGTGGAGGTTCTGTGGGTAGGGAGAGGTGCCGATCACAGGACTAGCCTGCGCACAACGAAGAAGCGTGCGGTGCGGCAAACTGGTTTCCTTTTTTTGTGTACACGACGAATGCGCATGCTCCGTTGGGTGCGTGGGCGCATCCACGGAGACTTGGGGAAAAAAAACCCTTTTTCACAAGGGGACATGGGCGGGCGCCGGATGCCACCGAAAACGCGATCAGACGCCCGCCCTTGCCCCGCAGTTTCCGGAAACTAGTACCTCCGAGGTACTAGTTTTTTGCACGGCGTTTTCGCCGTGACGCCTCGGTTGTGCCACGGAAGCGCTACGCTTCCCAGATGTGCCGGTGAGATCGCGCCCGGAAAATCCACCTGTCTTCCGTCTCTCTTGCGTGGCTAATGTTCCGTGTGACCGCAGCCATAAGCTTTGCAGGGAGGGGAACATGAGAAAGATCTGTAGGATCCAACTCAGTGGCTGCAATCGAGTGTACTTCTTGGATGTGTTCTTTGTCCCATTGATAGCTTTCAGATTAAGCATGTTGTGGACACTGAAACAAACCCCATTATCCTTATAATTAACTTTGTAACAGAATTCAACATGTACCATGTAAGAACTAACAATAAATTCAATTAATTTTTACCAAATGCTATGTGTGTGTGTGTACACACACACACCAGTTTGACGTAGTGGTTAAGAACACGGAGTCTTAATCTGGGAGAACCGGGTTTGATTCCCCACTTCTCCACATGCAGCTGCTGGTGTGACCTTGGGTCAGTCATAAGTATCTAAATTACAACAATAACAGTATCGTTCTCTATAGAAGTAAGTCCATCTCGAACATCTCGAAAAGACAGAAACATGAAATCCCCTATTTAAACACATGACTATCCAAAGGAGGACATAAGACAATTTTCCATCGTCCATGGTATTCCAAACTTATTCAGAGAGTCCTCCTTAAATAAACCACTGCAAGGGGATATTTGCTGATCTTCAAGCTTTCAAAACGTCAGCAAAACAAGGTCTTGCAGGGTAATTGTTCAATTCTGTTACATTGTTATTTGCCATGATCCCAGTTTGTTTATTGCTATTTACAATTAACTTTGGTAGAGGGATCTATGCATTGCATTGCATTGCAAATCTTCTAATTTAATTTAGAAAAAAAACCTCGCTCTTTTTTTTTGTATTTTACTGCAGTGGAATACTGTAGTAGAAATCAGCTGCAAACACATACCCTCAGTGTGGTGGACACACCAGTTGCACCCATCACTTCATGGATGTACCATTCCTTCAGCAGAAATAATATGTTAAAAAGTTGCACCCCTGAAATCTAAATATTTATTTGGTAAGAGCACTTAGAGCCAGTCCACTCTGTTGGATTCCCAGGTTCGTGTTACCACGCATTTTGAACTGACAAAATGCACAATGTGTAATCACAAAATCTACACAGCAGCAGCATCACCCTTGGATGTGGTTGTCAGGTAGCCCTGTCATAGCTCTGGAATGTGGAGGGGTGCCCTCCCTTTTCTGTCTCATCTCTCTCTGGCTAGCCTACTGTTTGCTATCTTATGCTTGACCTTGGAGATGCTCCAGCTGCAGTTTACTTGGCTGGGAAAGGTAACAGCTTTTTTGCTTTGCCCGCTTGCTTTGCCCGCCCGCGCGAGATGTATCCATTGGCTCATGCTTACAGGGGGGGGGGGATGTTTGATTCTAGTATAAGTCAGAGGCCCTAGTACTTTTTTTTTAATAGTTAATTTATCATTTTTCATTATATAAAACAAACATAACATAATCATTTACATATTTTGGAGTTTACATTACACATTTCCCCCCATCCATCTATCTAACTTTTGCCATCTTTTTTGGAATATACTTTCTTCTTTCCCTGCTAGTTTCATGTTAAGTTTGTCCAATTCTTTTATTTCCGAAATTTTCATTGTTAATTCTTCCTGACACAAACTGTACACGTGTTCTTTAGTACTGGACTCATCAATAAACAGTTATCTTCTTATGAAGCCCTGTGTGATGTGACCTGACTAAGGACCTTGACAGTGGTAAGCCTTAAAAACTTACAAGAGTCCAGTAGCACCTTAAAAACTAACAAAATATGTGGCAGGTGATGAGCTTTCCTGAGTCACTGCTCACTTCTTCAGATGCCAAGAAGATCTGCTAGACGTGAGCAGTAACTCACGAAAGCTCATTCCCTGCCTCAAATTCTGTTAGTCTTTAAGGCGCTACTGGACTCTTGCTCTTTTCTACTGCTGCGGACACGGTGACACGGCTACCCAATCTTGGTCTTAAAAACTTGATGAGTCAGCGAACACCAGAGCCCAGTGAACACACACAACCTGCTTAGCAGTATTTAAGGATCAACAAACATCAGCAATATCACAACTCGGCAGGAAAAATATCTTTAAATTACTACAGATCGAAGGCCCTTCCATCTCCATCAGTCGACAAAGGCTAATAGGGAGGGCGCTGTGTGAATTTCTATTGGAGGGCGTTACACAAAGGCGTCTTTGGTTTGTGGCTCTCCGTTGTACTTCAGAGGGCGAAGCGTGCGCAGAGAACCTGCAGTGATCTGGATGCTCGGATGTGGATTGAGCCCAGGAACTCAGCTAGTGAAGATAAAACAAAGCTGGCATAATGAGTTCTTGGTGGTCTCCTCCAACCAGCAGTTCGGCGACCATACCCTAGGCCGGCTGCAGTATCCTTGTGCAGAGAATACTTCTTCCTATTTTAAAATATCAGTATTTTAAAGCAGATAAACAATAGTGTAAAATAATGCACTTTTGTCTTTTTCTGCAATGTTTATCTAGAGAGGCTGGAAATAACGTGCAGTACATCTGGAGCTACTATTCGGTGGCTGAGCTGAAAAAGATGATGGATGCGTTTGAGGCATGGGAAGGGAAAGGTACAGACACTTTAAGTAATATTTTCAGTAGAAATTTGGTTGTATGTCTTCTTAAGGCTTCAAATAAATCAGTAAAATTAAATATAAAAAAATGGGAAATGTTTACTGTTTAGATGCCTGAAGAGAACCAATATGAGCCCCGAAGGGCTTGAGGGTCGGCAAATCAGCATCTTCTGGTGGTTCCCCGGCCCCAGGGATGACCTTCTTGCCTCAACCAGGGCCTGGGCTTTTTCGGCCCTGGCCCTTCCCTGGTGGAATGAGCTCCTACAGGAGATCCGGGCCCTGCGGGAACTTCTGCAGTTCCGCCGGGCCTGCAAGACAGAGCTCTTCCACCAGGCTTTTAATCAGGGCGGCCCCTCTCTCTCGGCCTCCCCTCAGCCCGTCAGTTTTGTATCATCATCAACGGACCCCAATTTATGACAGATTGGCCCTGTGATACTCTTTCTTTCTTTCTTTCTTTCTTTCTTTCTTTCTTTCTTTCTTTCTTTCTTTCTTTCTTTCTTTCTTTCTTTCTTTCTTTCTTTCTTTCTTTCTTTCTTTCCCCTATCCCAGCTCATGCTGGGCACTGGGCGATGTACAAGACAGGCATAAGGCCACTTGACTTTGATCTGTATGATAGGGTTATTACTGTATTTTATTGGAGTTTTAACTGTTTTAATTTGCATATATATATGTGTGTGTATGTATGTATGTATACATACATACAAATAAATGAAGAAGAAGAAGAGATTGGATTTATACCCCACCCTTCATTACCCAAAGGTCTCCGAGCGGCTTACAAACTCCTTTACCTTCCCCTCCCCACAACAGACACCCTGTGGGGTAGGTGGGGCTGAGGAGGAGATTGGATTTATAACCCGCCCTTCACTTGGAGTCTCAGAGGGGCTGACAAACTCTTTTCCCTCCCCCTCCCCACAACAGACACCCTGTGAGGTAGGTGGGGCCGAGAGAGCTCTGACAGAAGCTGCTCGTTTTCAAGGACAGCTCTTATCAGAACTACGGCTTGCCCAAGGTCACCCAGCACGTGCAAGTGGAGGAGTGGAGGCCTCACTTCAAAAGGGATGTGGGCAGAATGGAGCGAGTGCAGGGGAGAGCGATGAGGATGACCAGGGCCCTGGAGGAAAGGCTGAGGAACTTGGGAACATTCAGTCTGGGGAAGAGGAGGTGGCGGGGGAACATCACATGACTGCTATCGAAGTACTTGAAATACTGTCACTGAGAGGAGGGCAGGGAGCTGTTCCTGTTGGCAGCAGAGGAGAGGACTCGCAAGAATGGGTTTAGATTAAGGGCTGGAAGGTACCGACTGGATCTTAGGAAAAACGTTTTGTCAGTTAGAGTTGTTCACCAGTGGAATCAGCTGCCTCGGGGGTGGCGAGCTCCCCCTCCCTGGCCGTCTTGAAGCAGCGGCTGGACAGACCCTTGTCAGGGATGCTCTGGGCTGATCCTGCATTGAGCAGGGGGGTTGGACTCGATGGCCTGTCTGGCCCCTTCCGACTCTGGGATTCTATGGTTTTATGAAGAGCAATTCTGGGTGGAGCGTCTTCAGGGCGAGATCACCAAACCTAGTAGTCTTTTGAAACGGCTGAAAGAAACTTGTCCAGAGAGGTGATTCCATAAACAAATCGGATATTTGTCAGTCTTGAAAGTTATGCAATAATGCCCTTGCCGTTACAGGGGTCAGTTACTGGAGAGTGCCGCAGGAACTGATAGAATGCTGGACTCTGGAGGAGCGCCCTGTGAAAGGAAGCCTCCAAAACATGTCCCCTGTTCGGAAACGGTACGTCTAACTAATCAGCCGTTAAGGTTACGACAGACAGAGGCGGCTTCGGCGCATAAACCAGTACTAGCTACCGATGGTTTCCTCTCTCTTATTCCTGTGCTTGTCGCTATTCCATATTTTCATGCCTTGTTTCCCCCCAGACATTCTGTCTCCCTAGGGACCATTTCACAGTCAAAGCCAGCTTTAAATCCCGTACATTTGGGGACGGATTTTGAACATAGCTTGTGTCTGTCCATTCTCTAGATATACGCAGTCAAAGCATCCGAGTGGCGGCCTTTATACCCTGTGCTGTCTGTGAGACCCAGGTTTGAATCCCCATCTTGCTGTAGAAACTCACTTGGTGATTTTGGACCAATCACCATACGTCCTCCCTCCCAGGGTTGTTGTGTGGACAAAAAGGAGGAAAAGAGAATAATGTAAGCTGGTTTGGTTTCCACTGTGGAGGAAGGGGGGGTTATAAATGAAGTAAGTAAATAATAAATATAGCTGAATATGAGAGGCAGATAAAAGGTAGGTTGGTGAGTAGCTGAGAAGGAGAGAATGAAGCAGAGAGAGGATAGGAGAATTGCCAAGAGAAGGGAAGGTTAGGAAACTCCTAGAAATTTGGGGGCCCCATAGCTGTGAGGGGGCTGTTGAAGACTCTGTCCCCTTTCTTAAAGTCACAACCCCAGAAGAGTTCTCCCGTAAATGCTTTTTTGCAATAATTTAAAAACGTTTTTAAACGGCATGCGCTCCTATACACAGAGTGGGGTGCTGTAGTTGACTAATTCCTGCACTGAGCAAGGGGGGTTGGAGTAGGTGACCTCTAGGACACCTTCTAACTCTGTGTCGAGAAACTGGTCTCCTTTAAAGGAGTTTTTCTGCCTAAGTGCTAGCTTTCTTGACTTGTGGAGTCCTGTGAGCAAAAATTCTACTTTGCGAGCCACTGGCATTGAAGATGTGAGCAGGTGATTTGGCTACTGCACAAATTAGTTTGTTCTGGAGCCCTCCTTCCTGAGCCGAGACAAAAATGTGTGAGCCAGAGGCTAAAAAACTGAGCTAGCTCACACTAACTCAGCTTAGAGGGAACACTGGTTGGTGGCCCTTTTAAATCTTGCAGGAGAGAGGGAGAGGGGCGCGCGCACCATCCCCGCTTCTTCTCAAAAGCGTTTAAAGGATACCTTTAAATGCTTTTGAGAAAACGTGGGGGGGGGGCACGCATGCCTGCACTTGGGAGTGTGTGTGCAGCCCCCCTTTCCCCCAGAAGCATTTAAAAGGATCCTTTAAATGCTTTTGGGAAGGAGCAGGGGGGCTCTAAGGAAGTAGAGGAGCCCCCAGTAGCCCCACCGTAGCTACGGGCCAGCTTAAACTGTAGGTGGGTTGTGATTCATGGGCGGGTTGCAAGGTCAGATGGGAGGAGGGAGAGCAGAGTGAGATATGAAAGGCGGCTTGGGGTCATGTTTGGATTTGCCTCTGGATAATACAGGGCTGTGGTGGCTCAAGTGGTTAAGACGCTGAGCTGCAGACCGGCAGGTCAGTAGTTCAGCAGTTCGAGACCCGAGTGCCCCGTGACGGAGTGAGCTCCCGTCCCTGGCCCCAGCTCCTGCCAACCTAGCAGTTCGAAAGCAAAAAACTGCAAGTAGATAAATAGGTACCGCTTTGGTGGGAAGGTAACAGCGTTCCGTGGGCCTCGGCATCTAGTCATGCCGGCCACATGACCACGGAGACGTCTTCGGACAGCACTGGCTCTTCGGCTTGGAAACGGAGGTGAGCACCGCGCCCTAGAGTCGGATCCGACTGGCTTTCGAGCAAGGGAAACCTTTACCTTTAATATGTGAAATTGCCATAAAATGGAGCATGCTAGTTAGTAATGCTTTGTATTCATAAGTACTAAGCATGAGAACAATAAAACACAGCCTTGTACAGGCTTAATGGAAGAGAGAGATGCCTGTGTTCTTATTTTGGGGAGAGGGAAAGAAGTGTGGAATTACTTGTCGACTCAGTCCTAAACAGTTGGGTGTTTTTTCCCCCCATTTCTAAATGTCACAGAGCCACACCTCTGCTGTGTTGAAGTGGGGTGGGTTGCCTTTACCGCTGCTGTCTTTGGGTTTGCCATCCTGTATTTAAAAGATTTATAGGAGAACTTTGTACAGCACGTGGGTTAACTAAAGAATGAATTTGCTTCTGCTGTGATCGCACCATGGCAAAAGTGTCTTCCGTGGTGTGCAAAGCTACTTATTTATTTACAACGTTTATAGCATGCCTTCCTCTAAACAGCCTCTGGCTAGCGTAGAACTAAATTTGCAATATTCTTCCCCTAAAGAACTTGTGATCTCTCTTCCCAAATTACTGCAGGTTAGTTAATAATCCGATTTCCATTTTAGAGCAGCTTTAATTTTGCTGTTTCACATGTCCGTACACCTGCTGTCTGCTCAGTGACCAGACTACATTTTCCCTCTTTCCTCAGGAGGTGTGTACTTTTTATTTAGCAGAAGGGGCCCCCAACCCATAGGGGCCGTGGTGCTCGACACCTTACCTGGTGCCTGCAAAGTGTTTTCAGAAAGTGGGTGGGGCTCTTGCCCAGCACAGCTTCTGATTGGCCTTTCAAGATCTGATTGGCTGTAGAGGTTAAAATAACACTGCAGTGTTGGTTTTATTTTTTCTCTTTCTTCTTTCCCAGTGTATTGTTTAAATCACCACTCTCTGAGCATGGTTGCTTGTGGCTCCACACCCCACGTCGGCCATTTTGTCATGGCATCCACCACCCCATTTCAGAATTTCAAAGGTACCCCACAGGCTCCAAAAGGCTGGGGACCCTGATCAATGCTCCCTCTAAGCTGTGGAGCAAAAATCCTGTGAGCAAAAATCCTGCTTTGTGAGCTGCTGGCATTAAAGTTGTAAGCCAGCAATTCAGCTACTGCATAAATTAGTTTGCTCTGGAGCCATCGTCCTGAGCCAAGGCAAAAATGCGTGAGCCAGAGGCTAAAAAATTGTCAGCTCGCTCACACTAACTCAGCTTAGAGGGAACACTGACCCTGATTTAGCACTGGTGTTCCCTCTAAGCCGAGTTAGTGTGAGCGAGCTCACAGTTTTTTAGCCTCGGGCTTAGCCCAGGAAGGATGGCTCCAGAGCAAACGAATTTATGCAACAGCCAAATTGCTTGCTCACAACTTCAATGCCAGTAGCTCACAAAGTAGAATTTTTGCTCACAGGACTCCACAGCTTCGAGGGAGCATTGTTTAGCATACCTGTCACTTTCAGAAGATAGTCAGATTCTCCTTCTGCCTGTGACACGTTTAAATTTCATTCTGATTCTGGCTTGAAAAGAATGGAGATGCTGGCGGATATTTCATTAAACCAAATCTATTCGTAGCTTGGCTAGGTAATCCAGTTAAAAAAACCAAACATATCTTATTAAACTAAAATTGGATATTATGCAAGATCTTTCTAGCACACATTAAAGACCATGTGTCATAGCCGACGACTATTAGGCTTCAGTTTTAAAAAATCAAAGGTCCTCTTTTTATAAAAGAGCTCAAAGAATGCCAATTTCTGTCATTTCTTTTAGTGCTTTTGGTTTGTTCATAAAGATGATCTAGAGTCCCGTGCCTCCTGAATGCATGGTTACAGGGTTTCAGGATTTTGCAGTATGCATTTTAGATGATGTTTTCATACAACAACATGTCCAGTTCACTTTTGATCTGGCAGCAAGACCAGTAAATATAAATATATTGCTGGGTTGGGGAAAGGCCACACAAATCATTTTACCAATAGCGTCCAATATCATTTTTCTGGTCCCGTATATGCAATGGACCGGCTCTCGTTAGGCCACGGCAGCGACGTACATCTGACGCACTGCTATTATTTAATTGCGTCAGGTTTTGCAAACGTGCTCCTTAAGCCTAGACGTGTTTCATTTCATGGGAACATCCAGGCGCACACATCCATCGTCATCTGATAAAGAAACATTCCAATCTTGTTCCCTCTTAAAACTATAGCTGTGTTCCTCTGACTGTTTCTCTAAGAGGATAAAATGTAACATTTCGGCAGCATTCATTTTTGTCTCTGGATCTAATTGTTCAAATTTTTGTACCGAAGCTATGCGGAGGCGTTTGACGGAACTTATAGATTGTTGACATTGAACAGAAAATGGGGGGATGCTCATAAATAGGAGGGGGGGAACCCGAGTAGAGCATCCTGTTGGTTAAAATGAGCCGCCGGGATACACCACGGCCCTTTGACATACCGTTGGACATTGCCTTCCATCAGAGGACAGTAAACGAAATGCTGCCATCATCTGTACTGCTTTTGTTGTAATTTATGCTGCTTATGGCTGTGGGAGGTCAGTAGTTCAGCAGTTCGAGACCCGAGTGTGCCGCATGACAGAGTGAGCTCCCGTTTCTAGTTCCAGCTCCTGCCAACCTAGCAGTTCGAAAGCAAGAAATTGCAAGTAGATAAATAGGTACCACTTCAGTGGGAAGGTAACAGCGTTCCGTGTGCCTTGGTGTTTAGTCATGCCGGCCACATGACCACGGAAACGTCTTCGGACAGCGCTGGCTCTTCGGCTTTGAAACGGAGATGAGCACCGCAACCCTAGAGTCGGACTCGACTGGCTTTCGAGCAAGGGAACCTTTACCTTTATGGAAATTTTAGTGTGTTTATTGTTTACTGTATTTTAATGTTTGTTAGCCGCCTTGAGCCAGTTTGTCCAGCAAGGCGGGATAGAAATCGAAATAATAAATAATAAAAAAACAAAACAGAACACCTGTATAGGGAAAAAACCCTAAATTGATATATAAATGTATACTATATAACCTGGCATGTTAGAGAAAATAATTGTCCAGTGAGCAAAGCCGCTGTGAAATGTACAGTCATGTGACCCCTAGGGGCTTCTTCAAGAAACTACAAGGAGCTGTTAATAATACAGCTACTGATACTAGAGTCCGGTTGCTATATAATACAGGGAGTGGTTGGCTATTGCATAACAACTTAATTGTGAACATACAGTGCTATATTTTAAAAGATCCTGCAGCTGCCATTGGACAGGGAAGGTTACTTCCCGGCTATTGGTGCCAAACGCTGCTGGTTCACCCCAGTATGTTTTAATATTGTTATCTTTGATGGTGGAAAGGATGTTTATTTGAATAGTTTCTCCTGCTTCAGTTTTAAGCAGATACTGGGATAGGCAAACTATCTATATATCTAATGCCCAACATGCCCCCTATGTGCGGATACTTATTTCTGCAAATCTGGGGGATGTGTAAGGTCAACTGCACACTTGGGGCACTCTCCAGGTGTGCAGAAAAATCTGACATGTTTTTTAAAAATATACGGCGATACTTAAATCCCCCCCAAAAGTCAAAGAGCATTCCCCACGCATGCGCAGAGAACACACCACTGGGAACTGGTGGCTGGGCTTGCCGCCATTGCCGGTGTCATGGGGCGGGAGACTTTGTGGGCCCGACAGCTAGGAGCCGTGCAGGGCTCGCTGCCATTGCCGGCGTTGGGGGTAGTGGGAGAAACCTTGGCAGCCCAGCAGCTGGGAGCCCCACAGGGCTTGCCACCATTGCCACGGGAAGGAGCGTTGGCGGGCTGGTTGGCTGGGAGCCGTGCAGGGCTCCCCGCCATGGCTGCTGTCGGGGGGCAGAAGCGTTGGCAGGCTGGGCAGCTTCACCTGCTGGACTCACCGGTGGCCGCCACCTCCTCTTCCTCCATGCGGGGCCTCCTGCTGCTTCGTGGGCCAGGCACCCGGGGGCTGCGGGGAATCCTCCCCCCTGTATCACAGGTCTCCGCTTCTTGTTGGATCTAAAGGTGAATGTGGGATAATTATGGTATGTGCAGTCTTACTTGAGGTACTGGACTTGTTACATTGAATGTCTGCTTTTATTTACAGGCGGTTAATTGACTCTACTGAAGGGGAGGAAAGGGACTCGGGCAGTCAAACGGGTCGAAAGCCCATTCAGTTTTCAGGCCCCTCGACGAGTACCCATATCAAAGTCAAGAACTCCGCTTCCTTAAAGATAGCCGCGTGTCAGGCATCTTCTCGGTCCAAAGTCACTCTGAAACCACCTCCCGGAGACAGTTTGTCACCTTGCCAATCAGGACCAAAAACACCGCCTGCCAAATCCATCTCATTGACTAAAAATTCGCAGGTGTCAGCTAGGAGTTCTGAGAACAGGACACTCTGTGCGAAGACTTCAGAGGCCCCGTCAGCCAAGAAACTCGCGACCAGCCGTGTGGTAAAACTCAAGCGGACTCCACTTTGCAGTGAATTGTCATCCCGACACTCTTCGCCAGTGCTGAGCCAGATGTCTGAGCAGCAAGTCCCAGCGGCTGCCGTTGCCTCTGCTTCTCCATCCCCAAGCCAGGAAGAATTTGGGTTCCCGTTGGAAAGCGTTAATATTAAACATCGTTTGCCGAGTGGCCAGCTCAATGATTGCACATGACGTTTACAGTCGTGATCCTACCAAAGGTGGATCTTCTGACCTCCTGGAAGGCAGCTGACGGTGTCGGAAAGGAGAACCCCGGACAGTGTGGAGGAAAACGCATTTTTACCTTTTTAATGACATGTCAGAAACCTTGAATTTTTCTCCCTCCTTGTGGTGTGTAAAGGGTGTCGGGTTTTTTGCTGTGCTTTGCGTTGGGGTCTTATTTCTTCATGTAGAATGGAATTTCTATGTGGAGGTCATTGTAGAATGGAATGTGTGCTGGTCTGTGTGTACTCTGGGCAGAACATCCAACAAAAACAAGCTACCACAGCCCTCTCAGTTTTGTAACGCCTTCATAAACTTTTAATAATTTCTCCTGCAACTGTAATGGCTGGTATGGTTTGTAGTTTTTTTTAAGGGTCATGGGTACTGTAGTTTAATGAACTGTACATGGCAGTGAAGCCTCCGCCCCCGTCTCCAACCATGGAAAATCCTTTTTAGCTGATCTGTCTTGCCTCCTGAGGTCTTGGCAGGCAGCGCTCCCAAACCTCCAAGGGCATCTTTGCAACCGTAAGGACCTCAGAGCAGTGTTCCCTCTAAGCTGAGTTAGTGTGAGCTAGCTCTCAGTTTTTCAGCCTCTGGCTCACACATTTTTGCCCTAGCTCAGGAAGGATGTGGCTCCAGAGCAAACTAATTCATGCAGCAGCCAAATCGCTCGCTCACAACTTTTAATGCCAGTAGAATTTTCGCTCACAGGACTCCACAGCTTAGAGGGAGCCCTGCTTGAGAGTGGCTTTCTTTGAGGAGGACAGAACAAAACGAAAGAGATTCCTCAAGAAGTAGAGTTCCACTGCCAAGTGATAGTGTTCTGCAGCTTTCCCACACTCCCATTAAATTAAATTTCAGTGCATACACAGCTGTGCAAATGCACATTTGGAATTCTGTAGCTGAGAAGAGTTTCCAAGGGCTGCATTGATGCAATTCCCACAAACTCCAAAGAGATTTTACAACTTTCCCAGGAACCTTGTTCTATCACCTGACCCTCTGTATAGTTCAGAATCCTGCTGATAATCAAGCTAAATCTTCCCGGTAATAGTCCGTATTCTCTGCTTCTTGTCACTCTTCAGTGGCCTCGTTTCTCCATCGTGTCCTTTTGATTAGCTGAAGCTCACATCCCTTTGCTGCTGATACCCAGTTCCTTCTGCCCATCATTCCTGTTGTTCTTGTCTAAATAGTAATCTAGATATACAAAAGTAAAGACAGCGGTGATCCGTAGCTAGTATAGAAAAGAACATCGGCATGGGTGCGTTTTCACAAACTTCCTCAAAGTCGCATACAATGTGAAAATGTCACACGGAACCCAAGCCTTCATATGTTGCTTCCTGACACTGACTTTTGCCATTTTGTAGTGAAGCAGGTAGGGGCCATGGTGGTTCAGAAGTTAAGATGCTGAGCTGCAGACCAGATGGTCTGTAGTTCAGCAGTTCGAGTGCCGTGCGACGGAGTGAGCTCCCATCTCTGGTCTCAGCTCCTGCCAACCTAGCAGTTCGAAAGCAAGATAAATAGGCAACGCTTTGGTGGGAAGGAAACAGTGTTCCATGCGCCTCAGCGTTTAGTCATACTGGCCACACGACAACGGAGAAGTCTTCGGACAACGTTGGCTCTTCGGCTTGGGAATGGAGATGAGCACCGCCCCCTAGGGTCGGATTCGACTGGGAAAACCTTTACCTTTTGAATGAAGCAGGTGGTCGCCTTTACTTTCAGAAGAGTTTATTCTGTGGAGAGCGAATCAGTGTCAGGAAATAACATATCAAATCGTGGGCTCCACGTGACATTTTCGCATTGTATGCGACTTTGAGGAAGTTTGCGAAAACGTGCCCACACTGGTAGCACATTTGGCCGCTGGGAAGCTGAAGGATCTCTTCAGGAATCGGGAAGAACAAAAATAATAAGAGACTTCAGCAGCCTTTGTACTTATCTTTGGCGTGTTGTACTGTCCCTTTAAGAATTGTATATCTTTGTAAGAATAATATTTGGAAAGATTACTGAATGGTAGATAGCCATTATAAATATTTGGTTTCTTAACATGGTGGCATTCTTTTCTATACTAGTCTAAATAGTATCAATTTTCAGTAGTCTTCAAGGTGCATTCAAGATTACCAGTGGTACTGTTGCATTTTGATATAGTGCTCCTGTTAACCAAAGTCTCTTCCTGCAGCTGTTGGCTTTCCCGTGGTTTTAATATTTCTTATAAGATAGTTCAAACCAAAGGCAACAAGGAATCGGTTGAAAGGTGGTGGTGGGGGAGCCTGTTCAAGACCCTGAAAATGCATAGTGACCCGGAAGAGGTGGACAGATTTCCTAACTGTCCCCCTACCCAGCTATATCCTCATAGGCTCCTGGTTTAGATGCCTCATAATTAGCACATGGGCTTTTTATGGTTCCGTACTTGAGAACTGCTTTAGTGGGCTAAGGGTGTGCAAAAAAAAAAAAATCTGTATTTTTCAGGTTCAGGTGTACTCAACTAAAAAAATACTGGTATTTCCCAATAGTCCCGAATCCTATATCAGTATGATATTGGGATTCAGGAAATAATCAGGATTGTCAAATCTATGGCTGTTTGAGTCACACCGCGGTCGGGGTGAGCTCCCGACCCTAGTCCTAGCTCCCGCCCACCCAGCAGTTCGAAAGCTGAAGTAACTGACGGCGAGTAGATAAATGGGAACCTACCATTAGAAGGGTAGGGGGCACCCTCCTCTACGGAGGTGCGTGGAAGGCAACGACGACGGTGGCTGCAGCAGGACATCGGCTGCAGCAGCATACCGGAGGTAGCGGCATGGCGTTGAGGCGGCAGCGAGCAGTAGCAGCAGAGCCGGAAAGGAGTGATCCCTGGTGGCCAGCGGCAGAAACAGCAGGCGGCTGTCGTCAGCAGAGGCGGAGGCACAGCGACGTCATCCAAAGGCATGGCAGAGCCTGAAGGACGCAGTCAGACCGGAGGAGGACGTCACCTGTGTATCAGACCGCCTGACTGCCTAAGCGCCAGGAAAAGAACAGCTAGCTGCCGGGAATGGAGCCGAAAAAGAACAGCCGAGCCGAAGAGACATCAGCCTCCACCTGGGTGCCGGTAGGCAGCCCCACCCATAGAATCAATGTGGCCTTAGTTAGGGTTCAATGTGACTAGCACCCCACATGTAAACCGCCCAGAGACCCCCACGGGGGTTAGGGCGGTATATCAAATCGAAGTAATAAATAAATAAATAAAATATTTGGCTTCATTATACCCTATGGGGATTGTCCCTATAGGTTATAACGGAGAAGGGCGTGGGTAAACTCACAGCATTTTTGGGTTCACTCACGGGTGGTGTGGCTTGCAAGCCAAGCCACACACAAGTGAACTCAAAGTAAGGCGAGTTCCCCGCCGGCTCTGCTGAGGCTTTGCTGAGCAGCCCGCCATTAGAAAGGAGGGAGGGAAGATCTCAGCTCTCCCCCCACCTTCCATTCTACTGGCCTTAAGGAGAGTTTTCCCCACAGGATCAGCTCCTTTGCAGGTTCTATTGGGCAGTCTGGTTTGAACCAGGCTGCCCAGCAGAGCTCTCACTGAACCTGCAGGGAGAGTTCTCCCCAAAGGATTGGCTCCCTTGGAGGCTTTGTTGGGCAGTCTGGTTTAAAGTGGGCTGCCCAACAGAGCATGTAGACAAGGGAGGATCAGCTGGGGTGGTGCGGAGCTATCAGCTCCTGCTGCACTGGTCGATCCTGGGCTGGCTCCTCTTGCAACTTGGTTTAAACCAAGCTGCAAGAGGAGCCAGCCAGCCTCAGCCGAGGTGGCATGGAGCTAACAGCTCCAAGCCGTTTCAGCTGGGGCTGGCTCACCCGAATAAACACCAAAAAAAATTGGCTTTTGGGGGTCTGAACCATGTTGGTAGCCGAATACAGATCTCTGGTCTGTAATGAATACGCAAAATATGCCAGTACAGTATTTTTTAGGTATTTATTTGGTTTGGTTTATACCAAACGCACACCCCTTAATGTGGCCTAAGGTCCGTATGCCAAGATGTCACTTTGTCTCAACTCTCCTTTTCCAGCCTTATGCGGGTAATAGTAGTGGTCTACCTAACCAGGTAAGTTAAAAATTTCCAGGAAGGTCCTTGAGCACTCAGGAAGTACTATGTAATAAAGTACTAGTCAAGTTAACTAACACATGTGTGGCAAGCACTTTAGTGTGAAACAGGGATATTCTGGTCTGGGTCACAGTGTGAAAACTCATTGTTGTCTGCATTCATGACAGAATTTATCAAGTGGGCAGATGCTAAACGCTGCCAATATGAGTTTTGCATTGTGTATATTTTGAATTAACTTAATTGAGAATGAGTCTTTCTGTTCTCAAATACCCTGAGAGATCACTTTGGTTTGTATTGGGTGATCGTGGTTAGCCAGTCAGCGATCAGCAATTTAGGCTGAAGGCATTTCTGAGGTCACCACCAGGGGTTGCTGTACAAAAATGTGGTCCTGCCATTCTTAAGTCTTTCTAATAGCGAATAAAAACTTTCTAAAAAAGAGGTCGGCTTAGGTTAATTTTTGAAAAGCTTTGTGCTTCTCGACTTGCCAGACTCTTCAAGGCTGCTGCGGTGGTTGTGCTTTTGGCGTAAAAGGAGTTTTTTCCATGAAGTTCTCCAGCGTTTCGTGTCACATAACAGCCTGATCTGCGTAGAGTTCATGGAGCTAAAACAACCTTGTCTGACAAAAGCATGTCCCGAGCTTGACCCTGAACGGATATTCTTTTTAAAGTTGTTTACGGTTACCAAACAATTTTTCCCCCCGCTTAAAGGCTACTAATTAAAGGTTCAGTATGGAAAAAAATTATTGCATATGACCAAGCATGGGTTAATCATGAAGGTTCTTTCATCTGAGAACACTGTTGATATGGCTGTAATTAAGTTAGCTGCATGTGGAATTGAAAACAAGTGATCGGTTCATGTGATGGGCACATGATCGCTTTCCGATTTGTGAAGCACGATGAACTCCCCCCCCCCCCCGGGAAAATGCCAAATGTTAGACTTGAGTTCCAAGGCCATGACTTCTTGTAAATATCTATATATTGATTAGCATCTATGTAACAGCGTTCCGTGCGCCTCGGTGTCTAGTCATGCCGGCCACATGACCACGGAAATGTCTCTGAACAGCGCTGGCTCTTCGGCTTGGACACAGAGATGAGCACCGCATCCCTAGAGTCAGATTCGACTGGCTTTCGAGCAAGGGAAACCTTTACCTTTAACACTTTGCTATTAGAGTTGCAAAATAGTTATTGCTTAGGAGAAATAACTAGAGTTGGGTCAATTTGTCATGCTTACCAGCAGTGTTCCCTCTAAGCTGAGTTAGTGTGAGCTAGCTTACAGTTTTTTAGCCTCTGGCTCACACATTTTTGTCTCAGCTCAGGAAGGATGGCTCCAAAGCAAACTAATTTGTGCAATAGCCAAATTGCTCGCTCACAACTTTAATGCTAGGAGCTCACAAAGCAGAATTTTTGCCCACAAGACTCCACAGCTTAGAGGGAGCATTGCTTACCAGCATTTTCAAAATGAGCTTCACACCACTCCATCCACCTGGGTAGTTAACTGTTAATAGGAAACAAATCAGTTTTCTTGATTCAGGTGGGTAACCATCTTGGTCCGAAGCAGCAGAACAAAACTGGAGCCTGTTGGCACCTTGAAGACCAACAGAATTTTATGTAAGGTGTAAGATTTTGGGTGCATGCACGCATTGTATCTGAAGAAGTGTGCATGCAGAAAAAATCTTACACCTTGAATAAAACCTTGTTGGTCTTCAAGGGGCCACTGGATTCAAACTTTGTTCTGCTGCTTCAGACCAACACGGTCACCCGCTTGAATCTGTCTTTTGGAGGGATGGTGTCTGTGCGCTCAGTACACAAACATGCCTGACACCCCAGGGTCTCTGGGTGGTTTTTGTTACACACATACACCCCGCCGGTGCTGTGCTTTTCTCAATTACCTCTGTTCATTTGCAAGGCAGAAAGTGCAATTTGGAGGATATCACTGAAGTTATGTCTAAAAGTTGCCCTCTGCCCTGATCAGAGTCCAGCCAGTTTGGTGTAGTGGTTAGGAGCGCGGACTCTAATCTGGGAGAACCGGGTTTGATTCCCCACTCCTCCATGTGCATCTGCTGGCGTGACCTTGGGTCAGTCACAAGTTCTTTCAGAGCTGTTCTCTCAAGGACAGTTCTGGACAGAGCTCTCTCAGCTCCGCCTCCCTCCCAGGGTGTCTGCTGTGGGGAGGGGAAGGGGATTGTACGCTGCTCTGAGACTCCTTCGGGTAGTGGAGGGCGGGGTATAAATCCAGTCTCCTTTATCATCCCACCAACGTGTAGCAGTTTATTGCTGCCGAGCCAGTTCAGTGTAGCGGTTAGGAGCGCAGACTCTAATCTGGGAGAACGGGCTTTGATTCCCCACTCCTTCACATGCAGCTGCCAGTGTGACCTTGGGTCAGTTACAAGTTCTCTCAGAGCAGTCCCGGTCCTCTCAGAGCTCTCAGCCCCGCCTACCTCACAGGGTGCCTGTTGTGGGGAGGGGAAGGGAAAGGAGAATTTAAGCCGCTCTGAGACTACCTGGGGTAGTGAAGGGTGGGGTATAAATCCAATCTCCTCCTCCTCCTCGTCCTTTGCCCTGAGGACAGTGCTGCAGGTCCACCAGCCACACACCAGCATGTAACCCTCCTCCTCAGGATCACTGACCGCAGATACCAGGAAGAAAAATGGTGAGGCTCTAAAAGAGGAGGGCAGCTGGAGTAAAACGCATATGGAGCAGAGGTCCATCAGTGGCTATGAACCACAAGGTATAGATAGGGGCTCTGGGGCAAGTGATGCTCTGTCTTCTTGGTGCTTGGGGGGGGGTCAACGGTGGGAGGGCTTCTAATGTCCTGGCCCCACTGCTGGACCTCCTGATGGCACCTGGTATTTCTGGCCAATACAGAGTGTTGGACTGGATGGGCCTTTGGCCCGATCCAACATTGGCATCTCTTACACTCTTATGTTAGCGCATCTTTGTCAGGAAGTGCAGGGCTGGGCTGGGGAGCTGGCGTTTATCCTTTGTAGGATTAATTGCTCTTCACTCAGGAGTCGGACCAGGCCATTTCACAGGTCTGCAGCGTCGGTCTTGGACGCCGTGCCCAGTGCTTTCCTTAGCAGGGGGGTCGTCGGATCGGAGCACGAAGGAGGACCACCGTCCAAGGACTTTAAGAAAGTGGTATTCCTTGGACTTCTGTTTGGTGTTATTTATTGAATCCCTTTGTTCCCTGCCTTTCTCCTCACAAAGGGGCTTCCATTGTTCTCTCCCCCATTTCATCCTCACTGCAACCCTGTGAGGTAGGCTAGGCTGAGAGAGCGCGACGGGCCCCACGGTGACCCAGCAGCCAGCTTCCGTAGCACAAGTGTGGATTCAAAGCAGGGTCTCCCAGGGACTAGTCCAGCACTTGGGCACTAAGATGCTGGAATTTGAACCTAGGACCTTAGGCATGGAAAACATATCACGTACCTCTGAAGAAGGCTCTACCAATTTATGCCAACATCCGCCACCTTCCCTCCTCTGTTAACCATGCCAGTTTGGTGTAGTGGTTAAGTGCGTGGACTCTAATCCGGGAGAACCGGGTTTGATTCCCCACTCCTCCACTTGCACCTGCTGGATGACCTTGGGCAAGCCATAGTTCTGATAAGAGCTGTTTTTGAAAAAGAGTAGTTTTTGAGAGAGCTCTCTCAGCCCCACCTACCTCACAGGGTGTCTGTGGTGGGGAGGGGAAGGGAAAGGAGATTGTTAACCACTCTGAGACTCCAAGTGAACGGCAGAGTAGAAATCCAGTCTCTTCTCTTCTTCTACATCCAGCACAACACGGAGAAACAGCAATTCTGGGTGAATGAAAGAGGATTTGTGGGAAACGTCTTCTCGCTGGTCCTGGGATCTGGGGAAACAGCGATATCTTGCATTGCCTAGAAGACTTTCCTTGTTCTGGTTTTTATGTCCTCCATGCCCCAGTGCAAACGGAGGAAGACCCTGCCTCTCTCTTGGGCTCTGTGCGGTCTGCCAAAAGATACGGGGATGGTTATGGGGTGGTCACAAACACAAGTCTAAATCTGGGGATGACCTTTCACTTGAACAATGAGGTCAAGGGTTTTTTTTTTGTATTAAGGGGAGTGGCCTTTGCAGAGACAATACCGAATCTAGGTGTGACAGTTTTGCAAGATATAAACCACTGAACTTGTAAAATAGTTTTATTTTATAAAGAGGAATAACTTTTCCCAAGTACATTTAACCAAGCCATTTAAACGTAGCTTATTTTAAGACGATAAATCTGGGATTTTGCACTGGGCTTGGGGTATGTCTTCGGCTCTGTGATCTCGTCGTGTCACATCTACAAGACGCATCGACCAACCACGGTGAGCTTAAAAACATTTGGGGGTGGAAGGTGCACTCAAGTCGCAGCCAACGTTTGGTGACCGTGTCGGTTTTTCCAAGGCAGGAGATGTTCAGAGGTGGGTTTGGCCATGGCCTGCCTCTGCAGAGTGACCTTGGGCTTCCTTGGGGGTCTCCCATCCACGTACTAACCCGGGCTGACCCTGCTTAGCTTCCGAGATCTGATGAGATTGGGCTTGCCTGGGCCATCCAGGGCAGGGAAAACGCATTTCACTTACTTTAAAAGAGTTAGACGTATTCAAGCCTACTGAAATCAGCTCCGATTCTGGGTGAGAGAACCTGAAAGAAGGGGAAGGTCCCTGGCAGCAACCGACTATTTGAATCTGTTAGTAAAACATTTCCAATTATTTAATCTGGGGGGAAAAATGAATCAAAGTCACAGAAAAGGAAGTCACAAGGCTAGAAAACTGGACTGCGTTAATTATACAAATTCCAAATTGAAAAACAGAAGCAAGCGTTTAGCCCAATTTTACAGCACAGGGGGGAAAAATATAAGTTACTTCTTAGCTGGTCTTTATGACCAATGTTGAAGACCACTTGGGCTATAAAATGAGGTCACATCAAACAGAATTTAAGGTGATCGTTCTGTCCTGATAATTTGGGGTCCATATAATATGGACGAGAGAGTCGAGAAGAGTTCCTGTATGCGCACAAGTATTTTGACTGCAGGCCAGCAGTACGGATGTCTTGGTATTTTCCCTTCTAACACTGATAAACGACAAATTGGACAGCAACAACTATGTTATATCTATACTGACATCGTCCTGCGGCTTAAGGTTTTTTTTTTAACACCAATTTGGTTGTTCTGCTAAGAACCGGCTAGCTAAAAGTTGCATCGTTATGAGAAAAGGTAAATTTGAGTACACTGAGGAAAGACTTCATAGTAGGAAACAGGATACGGCAGATTATTATGAGAAAATAAAATAAAATCAGCTTGGTTTACCACGATTTGTATATGTTTCAAAAGCCGTTTTTGCGAGCATTGTGGGTGTGAGGGAAGCACCTTTAGTGAGAAACGATGACAAAAACATTACGTTTGCCAGTCTCTCGTTCTTCATGCTACCAAAGTCACAGCTGGCACTGAAAGGACAGGCGTATCTGCGGAGGCCTCTATCCGTGGAGGACATAGATTGCACGGAGAAACTCTTGCGACGTTACTGCATAAAGCTCGGGGCTCCATCGGGCCTGGCGCCGGATGATTTGGACGGTTTTTTTCTGGGCATGTGAGATTTTCCATGCTTTTCGCTGGTGTAGATTGCTCTAAGGTTTTAATAACACCTTTGTTTTTTGGCCTGAAACTGTTATGGTGCTGTCTTCTGTATTCATGTCGGGAATTACTCTTGGAGTTGTTCTGATCCATCTCAGTGCTGGCATTTTGTGGCTTAAGAGACCCGTTGAGTCGAACGCCATAATAGTATGTGTGAAATCTTCGTCTCTGACTGGACGAGCCATTCTGTCAACAAACAAAACGAATGTTAAGTTTTGTTGCATCTTTCAACAGGTTGCTTTCTGAGGGAATGTCTACAAATTATATGCATAGGCCTGAGGCCCCTGAGGTGTAAGTTCTCCGTCTCCTTGGCTGGTTTTATATGTAGACAATGTGAATCTTTGGTCCATTCTGCACATGGCATTTGCTGCACATTTTCTCAGCACTCGACCTGCTTCCCCCTTGCCTCGGAATATCTGTTTTCATTCAATCTGGTATGCAGATTTTCCTGTGTCAGTACTTGCCTCGGCAGTCATTAGCTGGCTGAGCCAAGTAATTCATGGCGAGGTGATAGATACAGAGGGGGAAATGGGGGCAGGGAAACTGACGGGGATCAATGAAGCCGCATCGAGTTGTCTGCTTATCGTTCCCTTCGAATAGGAAGCGGAGGAAGCAAAGGTGTCTCTCAAAACCACATTCAGACACCCCAGGGCAACGCCATACTGACTGTGAAGTCACTCCTATAAATCTACGCAGATCCAATTCCAGATTCATTTGAAAATGGTGTCCTCTTATAACATATTTTACAGAAAACGAGGTATTACCAGTGAATTCTAGATATGCAGAATGGATACATCTTTGAGAAATTTTTATGGTCCGAGCACTATCATACATTACTTTTGAGGTCTTTCTAAAATATATCTGGATTTATTATACGTTATTACTTTAGGAATAGTAGAACAATTGGAAAATCACAAGAAAGTGACAAGGACATGGTCATAGGATGATTCTGATGACATGTTAATAGATGGCATTGTGATATATGTATCTGCACTTACAGTTGGTATTAATATTTAAACAGTATTCTTGTTTATGTATACTTGACTTATCGTCTAATAAAATTCATTATAAACGGGGGGGGGGGGGAAGAAGGTACCATAAAACCCGATGAACAAAGAAAGTGAAAGCGGCATGCAGTGCAGAGGGAGATTTTAACCTCCCGACGTGGCAGTGGGAAAACTGCGGGGAAACAGACGGGAGCAGAATCAGCTTTTCAAACCGCATCTAGCTGCGTGGGGTTGTTCCCAAGGGACTGTGGAGGAGGCGGCTGGACGGCAAAGCTTTGTGCGTGAACTGCTAGACTTCCCTGCCTCCCTCCACCCTGGGCCCTGTATGTGAGGCAGGAGTGACTGGAGGGTGTCCTGAAGTCACCGGCAGATGTGAGTGAGATCAGAGGCTGCAAAAATCCCTTTTCAAGGGCAGTTTAGAGTAGGGATGTCAAACATGCGGCCCGGAGGCTGGATCAGGCCCCCGGAGGGCTCCCATCAGGCCCGCAGTGGAACCGGCCATCTTCTGCTTCCAGTTCTGCAGAGGGCTCTTTTTGTAGCAGGAACTCCTTTGCATATTAGGCGACACCACCCCTAATGTAGCCAATCCCCCAAGATCTTACAGTAGCCCCTGTAAGAAGAGCTCTGTAAGCTCTTGGAGGATTGGCTACGTTAGCGGTGTGTCGCCTCATATGCAAAGGAGCTCCTGCTACAAAAAGAGCCCTGGAACTTCTGCTGCTGCATCATAGCTCGCTTCACCAGACTCTATCAATCACTCAGCCGTTTCATGTTTTAACCTGGGTCCTAGGTTCAGAACTCTGAGCATGAGATTTCTGTGGTGAGTGTCGATAACTCAAAAGTAGGTTTGCAGCTTAAGTTAAAAAACACACACACCCTTTCTGTCTGTGTGCTTTATAAAGTTTATATCTCCACTGCCTGGCATCAAATTTTATGACACGTGTGGCCCGGCCCAACAAGGTCTCAATTATGTCAGGTCCGGCCCTCATAGCAAATGAGTTCGACACCCCGGGTTAGAGATTCCACGCTACCCGGCAGAAGGTTGCATTTGATTACCAGTACAGTCCCTTCTCCCTCTACGTTTCTACAATCCCCCCCCCCACGTATTTGGGTGTTAAACTTCCACAATTTTGCCCAAGTGACTGGTGCTCTGTACCTGCTTATTTGCTGGTGCTACGGGATTAGACGATTCGGAGGTACTGGCGACGGCTTGGCTGGAGACTTTGGCCACTGGCGCTTTAACGTCGGGAGTCTTGGCACGGCTGGACGATTTCCGGACGGATGTGCTTTGAATGCCGCTCGCCGTGCGCAAAGTGGCTGCCTGCAGCAGTGTGCCGGATGGTGTTCTTGAGGAATAATTGTTCTTTGGGTGAGAAACTGCAAACGGGGGGGGGGGGGGGGGGGGGAGTGGGGGAATGGCTCAAGAGTGAACACCACATTGTAATCGATACTAGCGCGCGTTTAAATTGAGAGAGTTAATTATAATTACTTGCAGGGAAAAGGAGTCCTGTGATTCATAGTTTTGGAGGCAACTGAGCCAGTTAAGTCTTGCTAGAACTGCACTGGGCTCGCTACCCGTGCCTCCCGCTGCATCCGTTTGGCGAGAAGCTCTCATATAAGATGTTCTTGTGAGCCATAAAAGTTCTCGGGTGCATTTAAGGCAGAACTGGGTCTCCCAGGAGTTACAGAACATCTGCTGTTTCCTGAGCCCCAATCACAGCTCTCGTTAGGAGCCCGGTTTAACCGCACGCCACCCGAATCTCCCTGTATTAACTTGCAGTACCTTGTGAAAACCATGAATTTTCTTTTAAGTCAAATCTTTTTGGGAGTCTCAACTGAGAGCCCTTTCACGGGCTCGCTTTCTTTGAGCCAGAGGCCCGTTTCCGTAACAGAAAAGTGGAAGACTGTAGATGCAAATGCTCCGCAACTTGGGAGAGTCAAGGCAAAATCAAAAAAGAGTCAAGAGTCCAGGAGCACCTGAAAGACTCGCAAAATTCGCGGCAGGGGAGGAGCTTTCGGGAGTCACTGCTCACTTCTTCAGGCGCTTCTTCCAGGCAAAGTATTCATTCACATCATCATTTTTAATAGTTCCAGGCGGTCAGCCGCATTGGCCTTGAAGCAGCAGGACAAATTGAGAGTCCAGCGGGGCACCTTGAAGACCCACAAAGCTTGATTTAGGTGATGAGCTGTCATGTGCAGGCACACTTCTTCAAATATTTTCAAATGCTGATATTTGAAAAAGCACGTATGCACACAAAAGCATTGAATAAACCTTTGCTGGTCTTCAAGGTGCCCCGCTGGACTCTCAATCTGTCCTGTCATTTTTAACGTTTAATCTCCCTGGTTGGAATCCAAACCGTACTTCTGTACAGTAAATTTTGACAGTTCATAAGTGGATAAAAGTGGGGAGGGGGGGGGCTGTGGCTCAGAGGCAGATCCAATTGCCAACCTCCAGGTCGGGCCTGGAGATCTCCTGGAATTACAACTGGTCTCCAGGCAACAGGTCAGTTCCCCGGAAGGAAAATGGCTGCTTTGGAAGGGGGACTCTGTGCCATTCCTACCCTGCGGAGGTCTTTTTTCTTCCCTTCCCTCCCCCAAACCCCATCGTGCCCAGGCTCCGCCCCCCCAAAACCTCAAGGAATTTCCCAACCCAGAATTGGCAACCGTAGTGGTACAGCCTTTCCCTTGTATGTCGAAGGTCCCAAGTTCAAACCGCGGCATCTCCAGTTCAAAGTATCGGGTAGTCATTTCGTAGGAAAAGAGGTGCAGGAGCTCATTTGCACAACTCATTTGCCTATGCCGCACCCCCTGACAAAGGGCGGGGAGCCCAGGCATGGTTAGAATGCCTTTCTTTCCCTTCCCCAGATAGGGAAGGGAAAGAAAGGCATCTAAATCCCCCCCACTTCCCCGAGTTTCTCTGCAAAAGTGGAGAGGCTCAGGGGGGAAAGAAGCCATGTCATCTGCCTGCCTGCCCTTCCCTTCCCCAGCCAACCCGACACCTGGGCTTGTTACTCCCGGAACAGCATTCCCCCTCAAAATGACCCCTGGAAGTACCCTGACTTGGATAGCCCAGGCAAGGCTGATCTTGTCAGATCTCGGAAGCTAAGCAGGGAAGGCCCTGGCAACTATTTGGACGGGAGGCCTCCAAGGAATGCCAGGGTCATGACACAGAGGCAGGCGATGGCAAGCCGCCTTTGAGCGTCCCTTGCCTTCAAGCCCCACTAAGGGTCACCAGAAGTCCACTTGACTTGATGGCAAAAAAAAGGATCAGGTAAGTAGGTGGTGTCAAAGACCTCGACCCAAGACCCTGAAGAGAGAGTGGCTGCCTGCCAGCCAGAGTAGGCAAGATAAAAGCAGTTGCCCCCATATATAGGTTTACTAAGTGCAAAAGCCTTCTATATTATGCTGGCTTAAATGCTCATGTTTTTAAATTAAATCTGGCTGGCAAAATGCTTTCTACAACAAGCTGGAACCCAGACTGTATAATTCTTTGGAGAGCATTTAAGCCAGCATAATATAGAAGGCTTTTGCACCTAGTTAAAGAAGACAAGACTGGCTTGCTCCTAATCAGGGGTCATTTCCTGTGGGAGCGCACAGGAGTGGAACTCTGGCAGTAAAGAGCCCAGGGGGCGGGCTCATGCAACAAGCCCCGCCCCCTGCTCCCAGCAGCCCTCAGTCAGAGCAAGAAGCAGCCAGGTAAGTTGCAGAACTCTCCCCGGTCCAAAACAGTCCAGTGGCACCTTTAAGACCAAGTTTTATTCAGGCACAAGCTCTCCCTCCTCTGCGAGGACAGATCCACACGTTCCCCCCCCCCAATAGCTAGCAATCCAAAGCAGTCCAGTGGAGCCTAAGCGGTGGGTGTTGCCTTCTGACACACTTCTGGTGATGTCAGGGGGTGTGGCATATGCAAATAAGTTATGCCTATGAGTTATGCTAATGAGCTCCTGCACCTCTTTTTCTACGAAATGACCCCTGCTCCTAATAAACACACTTGTAATGGAACTAGAAGATAATCTGAAGAAAATAAAGAAGTTAAGCATTGGTTTGCTCCTAACGTAACACTGAGCTGTATCAAGAGGCTGACACCTTTCAATACAACAGGATTAACTCCTGAGGAAGATTGGGACGAAATGACCTTATATCCGGGTGCTTGTTGAGAATGATGGACTTTCCCTTGTAACGCTGTGAAGTTTTATTTATAATATAATATGATCTTTACTGAATTTCCTAGTCATTCGTATCACAGTGTTTGCTTGTTTGTTGTATTTCCTATAGAGCCGCGGTGGCTCAAGTGGTTAAGACACTGAACTGCAGGCTGTGGAAGGTCAGTAGTTCAGCAGTTCGAGACCCGAGTGTGCCGCATGACGGAGTGAGCTCCCGTCTCTAGTTCCAGCTCCTCCCAACCTAGCAGTTCGAAAGCAAGAAATTGCACGTAGATAAATAGGGACCACTTCAGTGGGAAGGTAACAGCGTTCCGTGCGCCTTGGTGTTTAGTCATGCCGGCCACATGACCACGGAAACGTCTTCGGACAGCGCTGGCTCTTTGGCTTTGAAACGGAGATGAGCACCGCAACCCTGGAGTCGGACTCGACTGGCTTTCGAGCAAGGGAACCTTTAGGTAAGACAGGCAGGCAGGCACTGGCTGCACCAGAGGATGTGAGAACTGACACAGTGACGAGGCTTACTTTCTCCACATTGTTGAATTTGGGTCTTCAGCTGCTCAATGTCATAGCAGAAGCGGGCAGATCGGCCCAGCTCTTCGTCGTATTTCCGTTCACTTACAAAGTGCTGTGGGGGAAAGGAAAATCAATTCATTACAAACTGTCCCACATGAGAAAGCGGACGGCAGAGAAATGTGCCCTGTATAGATAACTTTAAAATCTTCTCTCTTAAAGCCACAGGTACTTGGGGGGCGATGCTCCCTCTAAGCTGCGGAGTCTTGTGAGCAAAAATTCTACTTTGTGAGCTGCTGGCATTAAGCGAGCAATTCAGCTAATGCATCAATCAGTTTGCTCTGGAGCCATCCCTTCCTGAGCTAAGACAAAAATCTGTGAGCTGGAGGCTAAAAAATTGTGAGCTGGCTCACACTGACTCAGGTTAGAGGGAACACTGCTCGGGGGAGATGCTCATTTTAGCATCGAGGCCTCTTGGCCTAATCAAAACATACCAGATCCATATTAAACCCTTTCTGCGATGTTTCTACTTAGCCAGCACCAATCACTCAATAATACCCTGTGCTCAAATAACGAGAAGTGAGTTTATCAGTTTTCAAGAACATTAACAGGCATGCACGGTTGGTGCAGAAAGGGCAAAGATGTGCAAAGGGGGGGGGGAGGCCTTGCTCGTTGCTCACCACTGATGCGCCAGCAGTATCCAAAATGGGTCTGTGACTCTCGCACAAGCACGTTCACTATGCGTCTCAAGCACAGGGAGGGGGTAGGAAACAGACACCCTCTATTCGTGCCTGAAGTCTAGGCCAAGGCCTCCCCCAGTCCACACTTTAAATACAGTTTGTTTATATCGTTTCAGAAATCAAATACAAATTGTTTGTGTCGAATGGGATTTGTATGTATATGTTACAATTTTGTCCCAAGGCCCGTGAAACGATGGGCTTTGAGCGGATTAACCCGGTGGATCTACAGCCCTCTGATTTCGCGGCACGAAGCCAAAAGATAAAGCTGAGCTATTCGGAAGGCCCAGTTTATCCTTCCTTTTGAAAATCTGGTCCTGATTTCGGGCGCTGAACTTTGAAGCGTCTGCCACTTATCTTGCGACTGGGAGGCATAACCGACTCGAAATAGAAATGCTGGAGAAGCCAACCTTAATTTCCGCCCTCAGTTCAGCCAACTGTGTCTCTGCCATCTGACTCGCCAAGTCTGTAAGCCTCTTCAATTCCTCGGCTTTCTTTTGACGAGCGGTCAAGATTTCCACTGCCAGACGCAAAGAGATAAATACGTATTTTTGCATTAATGTCTGGGTATGTATGTCTTCAATTAACACGCAGGAGAGCCACCCACTCTCGGATAACTGGCTGTCATCCCAGAAGCCAAACGCAGCCTCACAAGAGCGGCTGCTACTTTGGGGAGGGTGGTGGAAAAGACAGAACCCGGGCAAGTGGTCTTCAATGAGGAGGAGAAGAAATCAGGCTGGACTGCAGGTTTGGGCAGCAGCTAGAAGTCTGTCATACTGGTCCATTTGGTAGTAGGATCTCCCCAACCAGAATGGCAGATGAGATCCAACTCAAGTCAACGAAGTGAGGACAAAAACCTCCCCACACACCCCAATGGGAAATCAACTGCATTACCAGCTGAGAAACAGGAGTCGAAGTAGAAGACTTGCATGAAACGATAACACAGTGGAAGCACTATTGACCCAGGAGCCCTGTTCACAAGTTACAGCGAATGCATGTACAATCCATGTACATTGTACACTTGATTTTTTCCCCTTTATATGTGCCCTAAGCAATTCTCATGTCACGTTCGACACATGTACAGTTCAACGGGTGATTTAACACCCCCCTCCACATTTGTCCAGGTATCGGTCCCGGATTTCGTTCACAAAGGAAATCCACGTTGGCTCTTTGTTACAAACGGATGTATGCACAGACTTGCAGGATGTAAGTGCCTTCATTGTTAAAATGTGAACAGGAGGACTAGTTTAGCAGATTTGGGCCAAATCGGGAAAAAGTATTTTTTAAATTGAAAAATAATACTAATGTAAATAAAGAAGAGAAGAGATTGGATTTATGCCCCGCCCTTCACTTGGAGTCTCAGAGCGGCTTACAAACTCCTTTCCCTTCCCCTCCCCACAACAGACACCCTGTGAGGTGGGTGGGACTGAGAGAACTCTGACAGAAACTGCTCTTTTTCAAGGACAGCTGTGCCAGAGCTTGTGACTGACCCAAGGTCACACCAGCAGGTGCAAGTGGAAGAGTGGGGAATCAAACCCGGTTCTCCCAGATTAAAGTCCGCACACTTAACCACTACACCAAACTGGCACTCTCATTGCAGCAAGGCAGTGTTGTGACGAGCACAGATTGCTTTAAAGAAGACTTTAGACAAATTCATTGTAGGCCAGTGTCAATTAGCCAAGACATCTGAGCATAATCTTCATCTTTAGAGATGTGCTTGAGTACCAGAAGTTGGGCACAAGCGAGAGGGGTAATGGATAGCACCGTCCTGCCCTGCGCAGGAGAAACTAGAAACACTGGTAGAGATGAAATGCTGAACCAGACAGGCCTCCTTTGATCTGATCCGGAAAACCGGCTTTTGCTTTGCCGTGCCCGCTTTCCCCCGCCTCGTAGTCATGACTCCGTTCCTCACCCACGGGTGGTGCAAGCACTAGGCTCAGGATAAAACGGCTTAAGAAAAAACAAAGCAAAGGTCCACCGGTACTGTGATCAGGAAACTCTGTGCAAAGCTTTGGTTGGCATCAATGTTCCCTCTAAACTGTGGAGTCTTGTGAGCAAAAATTCTACTTTGTGAGCTACTGGTGTTAAAGTTGTGAGCGAGGGATTTGGCCACTGCATAGACTAGTTTGCTCTGGAGCCATCCTTTCTGAGCTAAGAGAAAAATGTGTGAGCTGGAGACTAAAAAACTGTGAGCTAGCTCACACTAACTCAGCTTAGAGGGAACACTGGTTGGCATCATTTGTGCGGAATTTGGGTTTTCTGGGCACAAAGCTTGCACATCCTAGGAATATACGCTATATATATATAACTTGCCAGTATTCAGGACAGGATCCACAGCTACTTTAAGGGCTCAGTGTACTATAGAAATACAGGCATGCCAAGGAAAGCTGATGTTTGCTTCCTGTACAAATAAGTGCAAATTAAGCAAGTTTGTCTCTACAAGCACACTTTTGTGTAGGTATCCTCACTGAGAGGGAAGGGGCAGGCTGAGTGATGGGCGATTCCTCCTCTTTCAGTTTGCTTCCTGCCTCGGTGCAGAGTGCAGGCTTTCTGACTGTACTCCGTTTAGATTTTCTAGCAGCGATATTACCATGAGCGCACGATCGGCTGACTAGTTTCTTTCCACTCTGTTTCTGTTTTCAAATCACTCTCCTTATAAAAAAAAAAACTTGTTGGAGGCTTTGGACCTGGCATGTCTTTAAAAATCTGCATGAGAATACTGTCGATGAAGAAAGGTAACGGGGACTCCTTGGCTGTGTGGAAGTACCGAACTGGAGGAGGGCGACCCCTACTGGTGGAGACAGGAAGACGCAGCTTGGTCTTCCTCCAACCCCTACCGGAACGCACCCCCCCACCCGCCTCGTCCTCCTCCTCCGAGGAGCAGAGCGTTCTGTTCTACAACTCAAAGTGTCAAGCACTGTAGCCTTGGCCCTAAGAAGCCACTTCCAGACACTTCCTCTCATATCCCTCTGCTCTTGCCTTTGGCTTCTGAAATTGCATCGAGTTATCACCTGTGCCCTTTTAAATTTTTAAGAGCTTTGAGGGCTAAATGCTGGAAGTCTTAACTCCAGCCAGTAACAATGTCTACGGTCGACTGTGTGATTGGGGGAGGCGCACGGTCCGAATCAGTACCAGGTGTCTGATGCAAACTGGTCAATGACTCAGATAAACGGTGCTGTCCTCTTTCTAAAGAAATCGATTGGCTTTACTTCTGCGGAACTCCAAACCAAGGGTGATTGCTGTAAGAAGTTCACACATACATAGAACAAAGGAAAAAATTCCTGAAGCTGTAATAATTTTCTTCTTTATTCCATAGGTGAATTTAGGTGAAATTGACGAACATCTCGAGTTTTGCAAGTTCGTTTCTGAATCTTTGTCAAAATTCGGTGTCAAAATGTTCTTTTCTCACGTAACAATCCCATTTGTATCTGTATAGACCTCGTTCTCGTGCTGGCTATGAGTAGCTCTACTAAACACAATTCATATCTTCAAAGACGGACAGATACAAATGGGATTGTTACGTGAGAAAAGAACATTTTGACACCGAATTTTGACAAAGATTCAGAAACGAACTTGCAAAACTCGAGATGTTCGTCAATTTCACCTAAATTCACCTATGGAATAAAGAAGAAAATTATTACAGCTTCAGGAAATTTTTCCTTTGTTCTATGTATGTGTGAACTTCTTACAGCAATCACCCTTGGTTTGGAGTTCGTCATTATTAATTTGCTGTACCCTTGAATGACTGATTTTACTTCTGCGGAAACAGCTGCAGACAACCCATTCCCAAATGGTCCCCAAGTGCCCCAAAGCCCCTTTTGGTTTTCACTTACTGGCTTCTTCTTTAACTTTATCCACTTCTGCCATTAAAGACACTTCTCTGTCGATGATACTGAAAACAAACATATGGACATTAGTAAGGACCGAGACTACAGAAACACTGGAGCTTAAGCAAGTGTGCTGTAGAAGTATGATTAAATGTACAAAGGACTTTCTTTGGCACAAAATACAAGCTCTGCGGGAATAAATGACAGTTGGGATACATTTAAGAAACTGGCAGGCCTTGACTGGAAATGATGCAAACTCAAAGGTAATGCCTCTGGAATTCTTCTGAAGAACCTCCTGCTAGAGAGAGATGAAAGAAACACAGAACTGGCTATTTGCTTTAGGGAAGAGATTCTTAGGGTGAGACGCAAATGGACGCTAGGCAATGCTCCCTCCGAGCTGTGGAGTCTCGTGAGCAAAAATCCTACTCTGCGAGCTCCTGGCATTGAAGTTGTGAGCGAGAGATTTGGCGACTGCATCAATTAGTTTGCTCTGGAGCCCTCCTTCCTGAGCTAAGACAAAAATCTGTGAGCCGGAGGCTAAAAAACTGTGAACTAGCTCACGCTAACTCAGTTTAGAGGGAACACTGGTGCTAGGAAACCTACCACTGGCTACCACACGGGGGATCAGCGTGTGAGAAAAGCAGCAAGAAGGTGGAACTCTCTAAAAGGGCGTCTGAATTAAAGGCTGTTGCTAAAGCCATGTGGAAAGTTGCAGGTGTCTGGACACATGACGGATATGTGCTATTCACCAGAGTAGTCTTTTGCTGCATGTTAGCACATCCAGTGAATCCCGTGTGTATGAGAGAGAGACAGTTTGGTGTAGTGGTTAAGAGCGGCGGACTCTAATCTGGAGAACCGGGTTCGATTCCCCACTCCGCCTCTGCATGCAGCCAGCTGGGTGACCTTGGGCCAGTCACAGTTCTCTCAGCCCCCCCCCCCAATAAACCTAGTTTGCCACAAAGAGAGCTAGAGGTTCAGGCTGCCAGACAATCTTTGGATCTCCTGGCTATACTACAGCCACTGCTATACGATAATTAATTAATCCTGTGAGAGCAGACAGGCCTTTTTTACACAGCTTAACATGGCTTGCCACAACCACAGTGCCTTGTTAAGCCGTCAGACGACTACATTCACATGCACTAAAGGCTACTGTGAAAACCCACAAAGGCGCCTATCGCCAAGGGGAATCTGGTTTATGTAATGCCGGAAGGCTAGCGCCTGGAATGCAAGTCTCTCTCTCTCACACGCACACAAAATGATATTTATTTATTTATTAATTTTATTATATTTATACCCCGCCCTCCCCGCAAACGGGCTCAGGGTGGCTCACATAAGGCACTGAGTGCAATCAACATACAAAATATATAATACAAGTTACAAAGTTAAAACAAATTAAAATCAGTACAATGGATGCACCTGTAAACTCCTCTCTTATTGCGTCACGGGGAGGTGCTGAAAGATGTTACTCAGCCACCCTAGCGGTCTCTCTCTGTAAAAGGGTGGTGGTACTGGGGGCTGTGGCGGCTCTTACTCATAGGCCTGGCGGAAGAGCTCCGTCTTACAGGCTGTAACGATTTCATGTTTTGTGTGTTTGTGTCTTTAAAAGTGGTTTGCATGGCTGTGTGATGATAATGTAGAATGCTGGACAGGCATGTGGTGTGATTGGTGATTGACAGAGAGGGGGAGGGAGGATAAGATATGTCAGTCAAGAGTGTCAGTTGAAGGGTGTCTGTTAGAGTTATGAGAGTTGAAAAAGACAGTTGAGGAGTTAGACAGCAGAGAGTGCTGTATAAAAGGCGTTAATATGAGAGTTGTCCTGAGGTCCCTGTGAGGGAAAGATTGGGTTCTGTGTAAGAGGGAAAAGTGTGTGAAACATCAAATAAATCTACTTTTATTTAAGATAACAGTTCTGAATGAAATTCCTCAGGAAACACATGGTCCTTCGGAAGCCCAGACCCTGGGGGTCACAATACCTACCCAGAGAGGAAAAATCTTATAGAAAAGGTGTGGGAAAGCCTAAATTTCCCTGGTGGTAGCCAGAATACCCAAAGAAAAATAAACCATAAGAACTTTTAAAGTAAAACTAGACCTCCCCAGATAAGAGGTCGTCACACAGGCCTGCGGAACTCTACAAGGTCCCGCAGGGCCCTGATCTCTTCCAGGAGCTCATTCCACCAGGTAGGAGCCGCCACTGAGAAAGACCTGGCCCTCGTTGCCGCCAGCTTGGCCTCCTTAGGGCCCGGGGTCACCAGCTGGTGTTGTGACCCCGACCGAAGTGCTCTTTGGGGAATATGGGGAAATGCGGTCCCTCAGGTAAGTCGGACCCTGGCCATGTAGGGCTTTAAAGGTAAGCACCAGCACTTTGAAGCGAATCCTGTATGCTATTGGCAGCCAGTGCAGCGCTTTCAGCACAGGTCGGATGTGCTCCCAACTCGGGACACCCACCAACAACCTGGCCGCAGCATTCTGCACCAGCTGTAGCTTCCGGATTAGCAACAAAGGCAGCCCCATGTAGAGAGTGTTACAATATTCCATCAGGCGCATCAGATAGTTCACTGACACACAACATGAGTTGAAATGCATTTCAACAGGGCATCTTCCTTTGGGAACACACTCAGACAGTACATCTCCCTGTTCTACAAGTAGCAAAATATTTCTCTCGCTTAATGGAAAATCTCTTTTTTCATGCCTCGGGCTTGATGCAGTATAATAAAGCTTTAGAAGCAACGCTGTCGGGCTGTCCGTGGCTTTTCCAACAGATGGCACTCTACGCACAGCTTCTATAAATGGTGATCGTCAACAATGATGCTACGGTATCAGCTGTACTGAAAATAATTTTAGGCGGTGGGAGGGCTGGGCTGGGCACAGATGAAGAGAAAGGCAAACCTTTAAAACAGCAGCGCAAGATTAAGAGTGTGCTGACTGCAGACTTTACTAACAAGGATGTGCATCGAGTTTATAAGAGGGATTGTATTTTAAGGAAGTACTGAAATAGTAAGCGGACGGGAAGGAGTAAGTGGTACGTGAACCATTTGCAACTTGTTGCAGTGTACCCTGCAGGAGCTCCCTCAAAAGAGGACCTTTGACTTCCCTTCTGGGGTGTTTCATAGAATCATTGAGTTGAAAGGGACCTCCAGGGTCATCTAGTCCAACCCCCTGCACAATGCAGGAAATGTACAAGTACTTCCCCCTCCACACCCCCAGTGACCGCTGTTCCACACCCAGAAAATGACAAAAGACCTCCAGGATCTCCAACCAAACTGGCCTGGAGAAAAACTGCTTCCTGACCCCAACGTGGCGATAAGCATTTCCCTGGGCGGATAAGAAAGGGCCACGAGAACTAAGCACTGAGGCAGCCCTTCCTGCCCTCCCTCTCATGATCTGCCTCAGTTCACAGAATCCGCATTGCTGTCAGGTGGGCATCTAGCCTCTGCTTGAAAACCTCCATAGAAGGAGAGCCCACCATCTCCTGAGGAAGCCTGTTCCACTGAGGAACCGCTC